CTGTGCTTTAACCCGCTGCGCCACCAGGGAGGGCCGAAATAAAGTTTTAATAACCACTTTATGTGAGTTGCTCTGTGGAATAAAATGCCAACCAAATGACTCTATCTTAGAACTTTGAGTTACCTTGCAAATGCCTTAGAAAGTCTCTTAACTAACTCCCCCAATGAACTGATGTTTTGTTTCCTCTGAACAATTCCGGGCTCTTGAGGCCAGTATCTGTTATATTATCAAGTTTGTTCTGTATACTTCCACTTCTACTAATTCATATTTTGCTTACAGTTTTTTTTTGTTTGTTTCCCAGGCTGGCCATTTGTACCTTTACTGTAATCATTCAGTTTAATTAGATGTTTTGTATTTTATAAACTTATAAAGTAGGATTATAAAAACAAAATGGGATGTTTTAAAAGATTTAATAAAAACAAGTTTTTTTTTTAAACAATATCATCAAGTTGGTAAACTACATGACTAATTGCTGAATTTCAGTCATGTCTAATAAGAGAACTTGTACTGTAGTTGAAAGCAGAAACCTTTGAGTGCTGAGTCATTGTATTGCTGTCTTGGGAGTGCGACCTCATCTGTAATAATGGAAGGTATTCATTTTCCTCTAGTGAGTTGACAATATACAAACACCAACAAGGAAAACATTAGTGGTTTACAATAACCCCACCCTAGGAAAAGTTGTTAAATCTTAGAATTTAGCCTGTGTTGTTAGTGTATAATTAAAAATTTCCCCCACATATTTAGACTTATAGGAAAAGTTATATTAATAATATAAAATATTCAGAAATCCTTCACCTAGATTCTCCAAATGTTAATGTTTTACTCTACTTGCATTATACTGTTTTTCTTTATTTTTTCTGAACTTTGAAGGGCATCTGGCAGACGTGGATGGAATTCCTTTAAAATCCTTAAATATCTTTCTGTAAACTTCCTAAAATCAAGGAATTCTTTTACGTAAGTGTAGTACCATTCTTAAAGTTAGAAATTAAATCTTGAAGCAATACTATCTAATTTATAGCCTTTACTAATATTATTTGTTTCAAAATCCCCATATTATACTTTATAGCAAAAGAAGATTCATGTTTATGTGTTATAATCATTTAGGAGTCCCTTTAGTTTCTGGAACCTGGAAATCTTTAGCCTTTGCATTTCAGGACAATGCATTTTTGAAGAGTAAAGGCCAACTTTTGTAGATGTCCCACATTGAGTATTTTCAATATTTAGTCATAACCACATGCAGGTATCTTCTTTTAGCAGAATTACTACTCACCTGAAACCAACTGGTTCTCAGTTTATCATATCAGTTAAGCATTTGCTGCAATTAGTTCAAACGCTGGCAGTGTTAACACTGTTTCTTTGGTTAGGGAGTTGGCTGCCAAATTTCTCTTCTGAAAAGTTACTGTTTTGATCTTCTTAATTAACTTTATGGTTACATAGATTGATACTTTATAAATGTCTTGATACTTCTTCAGTTTTTACCCACAAGTTTTAGTATTTAGTATTTGCCAAAATCAGTTGTTATGTTAAAAAGGTGATCTCTTGATTTTATCATGATACCATATTCATCAGTGCTTTTTTATAATACAACCAGGAAGAGTTTTCTCTTATTAACTGATATCAGTGCAGACTTATGGATTCTTTATCCTGTGCGAAATTGAAAATATTTCTATCTATGTAAGGGCATTTTTTTTGTTTTGTGAATTGTCCATATTTTCTGCCCAGTTTTCTCAGCTTTCCCTCTCAGTGTTTATGATTATTTTTAATGTTAGTTAAAGTTATTAACTCTTTGTTTAAGATATAATTTACAGATATTATGTCCCAATTGGAGTTGTATTTTACTTTGGTTTTTTGGTATTTCTTTGCAGAAGTTAAATTTTTTTTTTTTACTGTAGTTAAAATACATATTACTGCATTGAGTTTTTGAATGAATGTTAGAAAATCTTTCTCCATACTCAATTTAAAGAGGAGTTCACCCATGATTTCTTTGTAGTCCTTAAATTGCTTCATTTTCTATGCTTCGATTCTTTCTTATATATGGTATGGCATGAGTCAAATTTTATTCCTCTTCAAATTTCTAACCAGTTGATTGAGTACCATTTATTAAAAATTGCAACTTTGCTCCAGTGATTTGAGATACCACATATATAAAGTTCCATATGTACTTTTGGTTTATCTTAGGCTTTATAGTCTATTCCACTGGTTAGTCTCAATTAATTATCAGTTCTCTACTATTTAACTAGTAAGTCTTTTTCATATGTTCTAATGTCTGGTAGAGCTGATATTCCCCATCCCTCTTAGCTTTTTTTTTATTATTTTCCCCAAATAACCATTTATTCACACGGAACTGGGGTACAAACCAGAGGCATAAGAGCAGTGAGAGGTTCAGAGACAGTGCGGAGCAGAATAGGCAGATCAGCTAGGTATACTGCTGAGGGAGCAGTGGGCAGGCTGCTCCATGTGGGTCACCTCCGGTTCAGGGGATCGAACTTGCACTGAAGCAGTTGCGGCCAACTTGCAGTGCTGCATCCTAACCTGTTGTGCCACCAGGGAGGGCCCCCCTTTAGCTTTTTTTGGAAGTGTTTTGTGTTGTAATTGTGTAAAATGAGAAAATGTCATAGTGTACTAAAAAATCTGGTAGTAGTAAGTGATATTGTACTGTATTTCTACTAGTCAATTTCTTACTCAAAATTAAGAATAAAAGTTCTTTGGATTTTTTCCTTTTGTACAGAAGGGCTCTGTTATACTCCACACTACATTTTTCATTCTATTTTTTACAATTTATTTTTATTTATTTATGCATACCATCAGTAGGGTGTAGGCCAGAGGTATGGGCTATGTGTGAAAGGATTCACCAAAGATAGAGTGGGGAGCAGAACGGTCGAATGTACTGAAATACACTGCTGAGGAGACCAGCAGGGGAGACAGGAGAGGTCTATCACACTGTGTGGGTCGGTTCCCTGACTTGGGATTGGACTCATGCCACAGTAATGATAGCTTGGTGGCACTCACATTTCAACCCCAGCTCCACCAGGGAGGCCCTCAATCTACATTTTTCATTTGGGATCTTTTCATGTTGCTATATGTAAAAGTAATTTATTTTAATTTCCTATAAACTATGCATATAATTACATAAAATCATTTAGATGGTTAAATGTGTTAATAATGAGAATAAGAGTATATATAGGGAGAAAGAGAAACATGTTCAAAATAAATTTTTTTTGCCACTGTCTCATACTGAATTGTTTTATCTTGACATCATTAACCTGTCACAAGGTTCTCTTTTGTATTAGATGTTAATTGGCCAGTGTTGTTTCTTGGAAAGTCTTGATTTCAAATGTTATTTGAGGTCTACTTCTAGACGTCACTATAATTGGGGAGGGCTGTTTGTGTTCAGTATCCTCTGGAACTTTGCCCTAATAGTTTTGTATTTTAGGATGTTAATAGAGTGTCTGAGGATTGTTCAAATAATGCCATATAATACGAGATATCAAATGTATGAAGAAAAGTTTTAGTTTACTGACCTTAAATAACTTTATTAGTTCTGCCATTTGTGTGATGATTTTTAGCAGTGTAATAGTATTTGAAGATAATATATTTTTTTGTCATTTAGAATCATTGTCATTATCGGGGCTACGTGGAGGGAGTTCATAATTCATCTATTGCTCTTACCGACTGTTTTGGACTCAGGTAAGGAATTTTCTTCATCAGCTTTTTTCTTTCCCTCGTTCCTTATCCCCTTACTTATCTATTTTCAAATGAAGTAATTTTGGAGGACTTAGAATTAGATTTTACTTTGCTGTTGCTGGAGGTCATACAGCTATTTCTGTTATCATTCTTGGCATGTTCGTTTAGGAAAATATTACAGTTTATGAATTAAATGATCAATATCTAAGTAGAAAATGTCACTTTCCTGAGACTGCTAAATAGGTTTTGCTATTTACAGTGAAGTATACTTTAAATTTCTCTAGTGCTTTATGTTAAAAAAAAAATTCAGCTGTATTCTTGCATTTGTCATAAAGACTGTGAAAAGGGACTCATCTCTACATATAGTTGAGCAAATTGAAGTTTAAAGAAATTGTATCACATATCAAGTGAAGTGATAACAATATTAAAATAACATTTATTGAAGACCTGGCAGAATGACATTGTGCTGGTTAATTGATTGCATGAATGATTAAAGTAATATATTTCAATTTTAGTTCTCAAGCCAGGTGGCTATGATAATCTTCATTTAAGTAATAACAGCTATTGTGTGCTGGGCAGTGCTCTTACATACTTTGCACTTATTAAGTAAGAGGTTTTCAGAGGTTAAATGACTGAGAGGCCCACTTATTAAGGAAGTTAGGTTTTCAGAGGTTAAATGACTAAGGGTCGCATGGGGAGTAGAAAACATTTAGGATTCAAACTCTGGTCTCTGGCTCTAGATTCTACTCTTTTAGCTACTATTCACTATTGGTTCCCATTGTAGTACTCAAAGATTAAGTAACTTTCAGGGAGTGATGCTTGTTAAGCATTATTCTTGAAATTTAAGTTTCATCTGCTTTATTTGAGAGCTTCTGTATTTTTCTCTATACCATGCTACCCATGTTAAGAACTAGGACTTGAATTCAGGTTTTCTGATTTCTTCTCCTGTGTTATTCTTGATCCTTACATATATATGTGTATCGCAACTCTAAGAGGATTGCTGCATATAGAAAATGTGAGTTATGGGATCGAACCCCTGCAAAACAACTCCAATTTTGAGCACATCTTTTATCGAATGGATGATGTCCACAAAGAGCCTCTGAAATGTGGGGTTGCCAACAAAGATATTAAGGAGGAAACCAAAAAGGATAAAGAGGAACAACATCCTAGTATCACTCAGCTACTTCGAGTAAGGAAATAATTTATTTCTTCATGACTCAGACTAAAGTTTTAAAAGAATCATATATTTATGCATTCAATCAATATTTTTAATTACTGTTGTATCAACTATATGCTAGATATTGTCATAGGTTCTAGAAGATAAAAAGATGAGTAACATAGTTTCTGCCTCCTGTTTGAGTCTATAGCCAATCTTCTATGTACTTTGAAAACTAGGGCTTAAATCTTTAACAGTTATTGTGCTTTCTTTTTTAAATAATTGATTTATATAGCCCCACTACATATTTTTAGAAAGCAGTAGAATTTTTATTTTGATACCTTGTACACAAACTGAAATGGTGACTTGAGTTCCAGGTTGGAGACAGAGAGGGAGATTTGCCTTACGATGTTAATTTTTTCGATGTCTTCCAGGAAGACATATCTGTTTTGAGACTTCAGTAAAATTCCTAACTTAATTTTGACCTGGATCTCTTATGCTGAAATGTCTCTAGGACTAAATCAGTGTATCTGCAGGCAGTGTACTTTTCTACATATGAGATGATGCTGCTATTTTGGAAGAAGAATGGGCCTCTCCTTGTATATATTAATTAAGTTATACTAGTTTATGAAATTTTCATTGCCTTTCTACCATTCATCCTTTTGCCTGTTGAACTGTTTTTTAAAGTTTAATTATTCAAAACCATTAAATTTTAGTTTATCCTATATGTAATATGAATATCTACAAAATCAGAAAATTAGTCATTTAAAAATTTTTATCAAAGTGTCATTGGCTTGTAAAGTATATAAGTTTCGGGTACATACCATTATTTTTTGACATCTGTATATAGTTCATCATGATCTTCCCCAAAAGCCTAGATTCTACCCACTACCATAGAGCTGACTTCTTCAGCTGTTTGACCCACCCACCTAACCCTCTTCTCCTCTGTTGCCACCAATCTATATCCTCCAATATTTTAAAACTGTAACTAGTCATTTTTTAAAGTTATAATCTTTTTGTCTTTTTTGCTCTGACTAGTTAATGAATAGTTATTAGTAAAAAAATCTTTCTTCCACACCTAGCATAATATTGGAGTTCTTCTTTTTTAAAGATTTATTTATTTGTGCATACAACAACTTGGTACAGGACAGAGGTGCAGGGGGTGAGAGGATTCATCAGAGGCAGAGTGGAGAACAGAACAGGCAGATTGAGTGCAATACACTGCTGAGGGGAGCAGTGAGTAAGACAGGAGAGGTCTGCTGCGCCATGCGGGTCACCTCCCTGGCCAGGGATTGAACTCATGCTGCAGTGTCTGTAGATAGCTTCATAGTGCTGTGTCTTAACCTCCTTGTGTCACCAAGGAGGCCCATATTGGATTTTTTCACTAAAGTGTGAGTGTGCGTAATATGCTATTAGGAAATCAGTCTGTTTTGGAAACTTGTATAAGCTAAATTATATTTCACTAGAATTGTTCTTAGATCAGTCTATATAGCAGATACTACTATTTGAAAAAAACATGGTCTGACCCCAAATTATAAAGCTGTGCACCTGAAACGTATATAAAGTTATAAACAATTGTCACTTTTATATTTTTTTAGGAAAACAAAAAGTAGCTCCTAAAACCATGTTTTTTACTTTATTGATATAGGAGGCTTTAAGTAAAAGAATGTTATGATGGTAGTCTAGAGATTAGGGTAAGATCATTGTATATGAAGAACATGGCCATATGACTTTCTGTCTGCATTTATGATGTTTATTTTTTGACAGAGAAGAAGAGCTGTTCTGCCACAGACCCGATATGTGGAGCTGTTCATTGTTGTAGACAAGGAAAGGGTAGGATTGGTGACAGTTTTTCTTCTTTTTCATGAAAAGCAAATGAGAAGTGAACATCCCTTGTAGGAAATACACACACACACACACATATATAAAACATATATATGTGTGTGCAGATCTTTCTTAAACTAAACTTAATTTTCTTTAAACCTACTTAATATTCATAATACCACCAGAAGCTGAATACAGAGATTACTTCTAGCTTTATTTCTTACTGTTGATTTGTTTCTCTGTTATTTTGGGTGACTGATTTAAACTGAATTTCTTAAGAAAAATAGTACTGCCTCTCAGGTTCTTGAAACCTTTCAGATGGCTTTTTAAAGTAATGCAGTAATAAATTCTGATAATCGGGTACTGCTTTGTTGTAATGAAACTGCTTTGCTTTCTAGGATTTTAGCTAACCTTTATTTTACATTAAGAAACAGAAAACTTCTCTTTATTTTCTTAAGTTAAGAACGGCACAATTCTGAAGTATGAATATAGAAAATGCCCTGGATTTTCTTATCCTGGGCAATGAAATTAACAGTAACTGCTATTAACTCTCTTTCCTTCTAAAACATTCCAGAAGTTTCAGCATTTACAAAATCATGAATTTTAGATGTAGCTGCTATGTATAATGTACAGTTTCTTCCAAATGTTTTGTCTGATTTTTATTGCAAACTTTGTAGAATTTAACATGATTGACAATTCCTTTCTTGTGAGCTACAGAAATCATTTTGAAGATTTTCATAGCTGAAAAGATTATTTATGTAGATATATCAGAAAAAGAAAGCCGTATTTAAAAAAACTCAAATATTAGTTCACTACCCTCAGGTGGTAGAAGAAGAAAGCATAGGGAGAATACAAAGGAGTGTGAAATCTGCCCCAGATAACTGGTGAAAAATTTCTTAGAATGCTTGGACATTTGAAATGTTGCCTTTTATTATTCTTTTCAGGTAAATTTGCTGTATATTGGTAGAAAATAGTTCAAAATAAAAATGGTTCCACTTTAATAAACTATGTCAAATTACTATATATTTTTTCTTGCCTCAGAGAATCAGGTCTTTTTTTTTTTTTTTTTTTAAAGATTTATTTATTTATTCATACAGAACTGGGGTACAGGCCAGAGATGCGGAGGGTGATAGGATTCACCAGAGACAGAACAGGGAGCAGAACAGGCAGATCGACAAAGTACACTGCTGAGGGGAGCAGCGGGCGGTCAGGAGAGGTCTGCCACGCCATGTGGTCACCTCCGGGGCAGGCGGGGATCAAACTCATGCGGCAGCGGCCTCAGCTTCTTAGTGCTGTGCTTTAACCCGCTGCGCCACCAGGGAGGGCCGAGAATCAGGTCTTTTTAAGATCTGAGATATCCTGACATTAATGTCCTCATTATATAGCAAAACCATACATTCTTAAAAAAAAAAAACTTCTCTTTTTTATTAAGTTGGTTATACTAAAATAATGTTAAATAAATATTTGGATTTAACTAGTTCTAAAATAAGACAGTCAGTCATTTCGCTGTGTGTCTTAATATGATTAAAATTTGGAATGACTATTTATAGCTACATCCAATTTTTAAACTGACTAGTCAGTAATGGTTAATCTCTGATTATTAATTTAACCCAGGTTTTATAAATGGTTTATTGGTAATATTTTTAGTCTACAGAATGAAAGGGTCAGAATATCCTTTAGATTGTCCTTTATTACTATGCTATGCAGGACATAAAGAAATCCTGTACAGATTACATTGATTATTTTATACTCTACTTTTGTAAAATGATAAAAAATATTTTTTAATTAAAATGAATAAAAAACACTGTAGGAAGAAACACTTTAAAATTATGTTGATTAGGAAAAACTATGCTTCCTCACTACTACTAACACCCTAACACCTGTAACTTGTATTTCTTGTATTCCTATTTATTGCTAAAATGCATTGTTCAGGTTTATGAATTTGAAATGCTGGTAATGTCTTTTTATTTTAATTTATCTTTTACATCATTCTTCATTTTATGCATTTTTTCATCTCGGTTGTAATCCTGTGGCGTTCCCACCATCAACTCACCTGTGTGCCATCACCATAGTTCCGTGCACTTTTCCCACCCCAGTTTTGATCCCATTCCTGTCTCCAGCTGGCAATGTCTTAATGACTCAGTTTTTGGTTCAGAGGAAGTATTTGGATTCTTATTTTCATTGTAACAGATTGTAGCATTTTTTTCCCTTAAATTTCTTTGATGACTGATTTTCCTTCTTGGCTGTTTAGTATGACATGATGGGGAGAAATCAGACAGCTGTGAGAGAAGAAATGATTCGCTTAGCAAACTACTTGGATAGTGTAAGTTGTATTTTCTATTAGATGGAATTATTATATTTTATCCTATCAGAGTCTCAGAACAAAATTTAAAAATTGTCTTATTTTATCTCTGATTATTATGAGGGCTATATAACTCAGTCTGTTTCAGCAATCTGTCTTCTAGCTTGTTTTGTAATGTTATGTTTGAAAGAAAAGTAAAAAACTTTGAGACAAGCAAGAGGTTTTATAATATGATCTGTCTTCAGAGTAGAGAGAAGAGGCTCAGATACTTTGCGATTTATGAAAAGATCTTCTAACTTTTACTGAGAGGATCTTAGTTTTAATATGGCAGGCTTCTAGTCAGAAATAACAGCATGAGTGTGTTTATATATTTATGTATATGTGCATCAGATTTGGTTTGAGATTCTGGAGTATTGTGGGAAATAATGAGAAAATAGGTGCATGTTCATTTACAAAACATTCCCATGTTATGAACACCAATAATAATGATAATGATGATGATCATAGAGTTTTATACTCATATTGAATTTATATATAAATTTATATATAGATATTTGAATTTATATATAAATTTAGTGTGCCACAAAATAAGTCCACTGCATATTATAAACTTAAAATTTCTTTCTTTCAGTGTCTCTGAAATAGATATGCGTTCTATAATTGTGGTAATAATTGGGGTAGTCCTTATAATCAAACTTACTATTATTTCTAAAATAAAGTGTGAGATGTTTTTATTTTAAATGAAATAAATGTAGGCTATAAATAAAATTGCATTTGTTTGGGGGTGATTTTGTACCAAATTTACCAAAACCTTAAAATTTCTAAAGTTGGTAAAATTTTGGAATAGACAATTAAAAGGATTTGAAATTCTATTACTTTTATTTTATGGATGAGTTAACTGAGACCTCTGAGAGGTTCTTATCATGTTGAATAGGATATTTTCTGGGGGTGGGGTGTGGAGATCTGTTTCTAATTTAGGTATTATTGTTACTGCATCATATGGCTAAGAGAGATTCTCTTTATTTTTTAATACAGTATTTTGTAACTTTATTTCGGTTTCCTTCCCAGATGTATATTATGTTAAATATTCGAATTGTGCTAGTTGGACTGGAGATTTGGACAAATGGAAACCTCATCAATATAATCGGGGGTGCTGGTGATGTGTTGGGGAACTTCGTGCAGTGGCGGGAAAAGTTTCTCATCACTCGTAGGAGACATGACAGTGCACAACTTGTTCTGTAAGTGATTTGAAAAAAGGACTGTTAATGAAATGGTCAGAAAAACACACTTTTTTATAATCGTATTTCCTTAAGGTCTTTGAGTGTTCATTTACATAAGGAAAGCTTAAAAATAAAAAATAAATAAGGAAAACTTAGTCTGACACCACAGGACAAGTGACACTGTGATAATAGGCCCTCTCTTCTGTATTGGATTCCTGGTCACCTAAACTCCATGACTTCCTCCTCCACGACTTCTTGGGTTTACTCCTCATCTTGGGGTAGAATACTTTCTTGCTTTAGGCCTATGGTCAGTTTGCAAGTTTTATCTTTTTCCTGCAAGGGAGGGAGCGGAGTCGAAACAGGGCATAGAAGAGCACTAGGTGTTATGGTGATGGCTCATGGGTAGTGGGAGAACCAGGGGAACTATACCTTGGGAAGAAATCAAATGTCCAAAATGGACAATGATGTAAGACAATAAATAAATTTAATAAAAAATAATAATTTCTTCATGTGAAAGTATACATGGAAAGAAAAAAATTGGACCTCTTGCAAATTGAAAAATGTGCAGTCTCAGAGTAGAATTTAAACAGTATCTATTTGACTTCTGATTGTCCTAGGGGACGCAAGTAACTTAAGTTTTTTTGGTTATTTGAATGGTTATAAAATTCTGGGTGTGAAATCTTTTCCTTTTAGAATTTTGGAGACCTGACTCTTTTGATGGCCAGTTTTGCTATTTGGAAGACTTAAATTCTTTTGATTATAGATTTTGTGGATTTGTTGAATTTTCCCACATTCTCTGGAAAGCTGTAGGATTTTCTCTTGGTTCTCATGTCTCTCAATTTTTTGATATGTTTTTGGGTTGCTCTTTTTTAGGGTGGTCTGGGATTTTTCAAATATTACTTATTTTTAAAAAGTAACAAAATGAGAATGAAATGGAACTCATTTGCTATACCTCTTTACTTTTTGTGGTTGGTAGTTTCAGTCTTGAAACTGATATCCTTGTGTTTTAGGAATTTTTCTCAAGTTATTTTAAAGGTAATTTCATTATATTTATTTTTAGTCTCCCCCCCCCCCCCGGGATTCCTTTTACTTGACTATTGAGTTCTTGTGCTTGTTCTCTAATTTCATTTTGTCATTTCCTTCTCTTTATCTTCTTGTTCCCTTTTCTGGGACATTTCTTTGAATTTTTCTCCTAAATTTCCAAGATTTGTTGAATTTTTTATTTCCACTATCTTACTTTTAGTGCTTTAATAGCTTTTTTCCCTTTTAATGTTTTTATATAATCAAGTTCTTGTGTTTTTTAATACTTTTTTGAGATATTGCTGATAATGTTTTTAAAATTTTATTTCTATATATTATTTTTAGCTTATTTAACTCACTTAATGTAAGTACATTCTAAAATCTTACAAGAAAGCCCTCACTTAAATTTTTAAAAATTTCATTCATTAAAACTTTTCTGGCTTGATGAGCTGACTTACGCAAAAAAAGTTCTAATTTATATAATTTTTTTGCCTCCCTCAATGTTGATGGTACCTAAGACACATCTTCTTTCCCCTGAGGAGAAACTTCCCTTGATTTTGTTTGCTTTCCTTTTTTATATGAGTTAATTTAAACAAGACACTTAAAATACCTAGATAAATTTTTATAGCCTCACAATCAAAAAGGCTGTTTTTTGACTTTTTTATTATTTTTTAGTAAACTTGTACGTGCCACTATCCTCATAGCAGTTGGCATGCCTAATAGCAGTCTGCTTGCCATCTAGTTTGTAAAAGCTCAGAAGGCGAAGACTTGCAACATGTTTCCTATGCTTTGCCCAACCACGCCTACCAAACTGCTTTTCCCTCCTGTTTGTGGTCTCCATCTGTTATGTTGGATGCATTTCTCACTTGTCTGCTGACACTTTGCTGGCTTGTGGTTACGAATGGGCATCTCCAGGCCTTTGGAAACATTGAGTTTATGTGTGTGGGATTTAGGGTTCACTACAGGGTTATCTGGCTAAAGTATTATGTTATAAATCTGGCCTTATCACATCCTCTTTTCCTTGCAGAAGCTTGTTAAATTGTTCCCTCCCACCATTAGAATTTTTAAATCAATAAACATAATGCATTTTTTAAAAAAGATCCTTTTTGCCTTGTTTTTGTTTCTTTTTTTTTAAAAAAAATTTATTTATTTATGCATACAGAACTGGGGTACAGGCCAGAGGTACAGGGGTGGTGAGAGGATTCACCAGAGACAGAATGAGGAGCAGAACAGGCAGATTGACTCAGTACACTGCTGAGAGGAGCAGCAGCCAGGTCAGGAGAGGTCTACCTTGCCATGTGGGTCACCTCCAGGGCAGGCAGGGATCGAACTCATGCGGAAGTGGCTTTAGCTCTTTAGTGCTGTGCTTTAACCCTCTGCACCACCAGGGAGGGCCCTGTTTTTTTTTCTTAAGATTTATTTATTTCTGCACACAGAACTGGGCAGAGGCAGAGTGGGGAGCAGAACAGGCAGACTGAAGTACACTCTTGAGGGGAGCAGAAGGCAGTTCAGGAGAGGTCTGCTGCGCCATGTGGATCACCTCTGGGACCTAGGATCAAACTCACACTGAAGTGGCTATGGCCAGCTTGAGTGCTGTTTCCTTACCCATTGTGCCACCAGGGAGGGCCCCACATAGTGCATTTTAAGAAAGTTTTTCCACCTAAAAGTTAGGAAAAAATTCGATTTGGCATATAAAACATGTCTTCATTATCTGAGAAATGAATTTGTAATACTGATCTCTTTCTTTGATAACAAAAGAGAAAGACATATTTGCATTCTGATTTTATTTATTTTTAATTTCATTGATTTAACATTGGTTCAGAGCACTGTATGTTTCGTGAATGTGGTTTCACATTTCTGTTCCGATTTTAAAATGTTGTTTATTTTGCCATTTTTCTCCCAGTTTTTTAAGTTTCACCAAACCAATTTTAAGATTATCCAACGTACCACAGGTACAATGTGTTCCTTTTAAACTTTTACCTTTTCTTTTTTTTAGGAAGAAGGGTTTTGGTGGGACTGCGGGAATGGCATTTGTGGGAACAGTGTGTTCAAGGAGCCATGCAGGCGGGATTAATGTGGTAATTTTTCTGCATGTTCTACTGTGATGTTACCTTAGAACAGTGTCTACCAAGGTTATTTGGCGAAAGTATTATGTTATAAATCTGGTCTTATCACATCCCCTTCTTGCAGAAGCTTGTTGAATTGTTCCCACCACTAGAAATTTTAAATCAATCAATGTGATGAATTTTAAGAAAGTTTTTCCATCTAAAAGTTAGGGAAAAACTTGATTTGATATCTGAAACATGTCTTAATTATCTGAAAAATGAATTGGTAATGCTTTCTTTGATAATAAGGGAAAAGTACTTAAAGTAATCCTTTGAGTGGCAGGTGTTCTCTTTCCTTAGAGACTGGATTATCATTCTAATACTTATTAGCTCCTTACTTTTTTATAAATGCGAAAACAGATATCACTTGAGAAAATTAAATTAGAATCATAAATTTGTTTTCCCATGAACTACCATGTATCATTCTTTGGTGCTAAAGTAACTGTTTAAGGAGTCCATTTCATTAAACACACCAGTTTCTTACTAGACTGAAATGTGTAAAGGCTGTTGTTGGATGCTTGATTTATAATGAAGGCTGTTAACATCATAGTGACAAATTACCTTTTGTAAAAAAATAATCTGAGAAAAATAATCTGTGAAAAATACCCTTTTGTCCAGAAACCTACTTACTTCCTTTCTTGTGTTTGCACAGTTTGGGCAAATCACAGTGGAGACATTTGCATCTATTGTTGCTCATGAGTTGGGCCATAACCTCGGAATGAATCATGATGATGGCAGAGATTGTTTTTGTGGTGCAAAGAGCTGCATCATGAATTCAGGAGCATCGTGAGTAACTCAGTTCTTTCTTCTTAATATGGTGTTGTAGATGAATGTTTTTAAGTGTCTGCAGTATACTCATGCCCACGTTGCAAAAACAGAAAAAATTATAGTGCTATCTGAAATTAATTACATGTTCCCCTAACCAGAAATCTATTTTTTCATTAAATAATTCCAAGAAGTTCTAAAGAAGGAAACATTTATGTAGAGGCAGGTGTGTAACTACATTGTCCTGTAAACCAATTGATGGGCCCAAAGAGTATAAGACCATAGACCATAGAAAAATTTCCAGTGCAGGTTGGATTAGATTGAAGGACTCTCTAAAGCACTGTCACTATAAAATAGAAGAAATCCTGGCATATTTCCTATGAACATTCCCTATTTTATAGATGAAGCTGAGAGAAAAGATAAAAAGCAAAAAGAATTGACATTCAACTCTGTGTACAAGGCACTGTTCTTACTACTTAAAAAGATGTTAATTCACTTAATGCTTAATAATATGATGAGGTGTCATTATACCTCTATTTAGGATGAAGAAACTCAGGTTGTACATATCTAAATAGTGAAACCGGTAGTTGAAATCAGGAACTCTGAGTTCAAAGTTTATGATCTTACATGCCCTTTTTGCCAGAGCTCAAAAATAATTGTAATAGACAGTCTAAGGGTGAATATAAACTGCTGAGTTACCTCATTTTGATTAAGATTTGTTACAAGGCACCTGGGTTCCTTCTTAGCTTAGAAGGCAATAGTGCTAAGACTAGAGAGGTGGGCATTGTCATATGCATAGTTGGAGAAGCTGAACCAGAGAGAAAATTAGATGTGAATGATAGTCATTGAACAC